TAAGTGCTTTCCAATTCTAGAGTCGCAGCATTCAGTGAGCAATAATCATGCAGGATTTGGCGAGTAGGAGTTCTACTTTCATTATATGTACTGCATGCAAATTACATAAACTTCACAAAGTTCAGCCCCTTGAGTTTTCTCTTCTGCAAACAGGTCTTTCACACGTCAGTCCCCTACATCCTTCTGTCTCCTTATTTCAGCTATGCTTCTTTGCATCTTTTAAACGATTAATTATAGCCCTCAATTTGTTTCTTGTAAAAGTTGTGACAATTCCATCTAGTAACAGCTATTTTCAAACATCTAGCACCTTCTTTGAAAAGAAGAAAAAAGAAGTAGAATCTGTATTAGTTTCTTGGGGCTGTTTCCCTTAACAGAATGTAAAACGCTGGACCTTTTCTGCTCCTCCAGAGTGAAAATGACGTAAAGAATTCCAGTTCTAACTACTCATTATTTGTGATCCAGCAGGAATGCAAACAGATCAGACCAGTCAGCAAGTGATACACCTGAACAAACAAAAAATGCAATGATGTGGCATTTTGTTTTGTGCTGGCACTTTGAGATTTCATGGTACCAACCAAACTTCAGAAAATTAAGTGCATCACAAAAAAGAGTCAAGAATCTCAAACCAGATGCACCTCTCCTGTGAAATACTGTGTTATGCCTGTGTCTAAGGAAATTCTTGTATCCTGCCTGGACTTGCTTCATTTGCAGGGACCAATTTCAGCTGAGATTTCCAAAGTCATTTCAACAGAACATGAGGGAAAAGCCATCTTGCAGGATCCTGGAACTGACTACTTTGCCAAGGGCCTGCTGTAGGACATCTCTTAGGAAGAGGTGTTAAGATTCACCCCTGTGAGCACTTCCCTGTGTTCCCAGGCATACACCTACTTTTGCTTTAAAGCTTGGATCATACCAGATGATTAGTCCAACAAGAGAACGTTTGAACCGACCAATCTTAAATCTAATGTTACCCAGTACACAACACATCACTTGCTGAAATACCAAAAATTCAGTTTAAAAGTTTGCTGTACACCAACTATGTATTTTTCACTTACAAAGTATACAAAACCACACTGACATTGATTTAAGGGTTTTCTTGGGGATTATTAAGAAGAATTCTTTGTTTCCAAACAATCAGTACAATTCCATTTCCTCTTCATCTCTGGGAATAACTTTTCATAGTGACAACATAGTCTACATAATCTTCAAAATACGGGAAGTTTTACAAGACTATATATTTTTGCCAGTTACTAATATTTATGGCATCACACACTGCAACAAAAAAATCTGTACTGATTGACAAGGAACTCGCATATACATTTAGCTGTATTAAGAAATTCTTCAGTTACACAGTTTGCACATCTTGCTTTCCCACAGAGATCAATCACCAGATCCGAGATCTGTGGAAACACAGGCTAAACCTGCTGTAGAACATGGCATAGTTTATTTTTTATACTATATTGTCATTTCTATGTAATAAATGCCCAAGTTCTGCAAAGATCTAGGAACAACAAAGAGGTCTTTTGGCTTGTCATATTCTTTTGTGAAATGCCACCCAGGAGACTTCAGGAAAAAAGCTAACAAAAAACTCTTTTGCAAGCCAGCAAGAAGTGCTTTTCAACTCATTGTTTACATAAGAGGATGTATTCTGCAGTCTTTCTGAACGTCATTTCTAGCAATAAAACTGCATTCACTAACTCATGTTCCATTAAGGTCTATATTTTAATGGGAACGCTGGAAAATTCATTCCAGAATTCATGAATGCAACTATAACAATACAAAAAGGGTAATTCTGCCCCTTAGCCTTCCTCCTCATAAGCATTTGACAACTAAATTAAAAGTTAATACAGAACTTGTGTTCCAAGAGAAAATATCTTTTCCATCGACATGTAATACAAACACATCTTATCTCTCCCCTAAAGTTGGAGTCAGTATCTCATTCCAAGGTACAGGGTAGTAGTGCATAATGAAAAGAACTAGCATCAAAAAATGCACATTTTTAAAGAGAGCTGCAAGGTCATATCTCCAGAAAAACTACAGTTCTGCACACAGACCACAGGGGTCTTTTACAGATTTTCATAAAACACCACAAAACACAAAAAAAAAAAAAAACAAACAAAAAGGCTCTCAGCTTTAGCTACCACTGTTACATTTACTAGGTAAGGCTACTTCACCTTTCAGAAGCTGACAAAAATGTAACTGATATACTGAAGCCAAACATTATAAAATTGCCTGTAAATTTTTTAACAGGTGACTCTTACAATACCTAGCTGGGGTGGGAGGGGGAAGTAAATATATAAATAATTACTATTCTGTAGTAACTACACAGTATTACTGGCTTACTTGAAAAATACCTTTATTTTTATTTCAGAATCATAAAATGTAAACACTACTTGCAGAAATAGACATAAACATAGACATAAACAAGTGTCTATGTTAACTTTTCTTACCTTGAAAGATTTAAGAAAGGTATAGTAAAGTCCATCAGTACAGGAAGTATCTTACAAGCTACCAGATTTGCAACTAAGAAAGAATAACGTTTTATTCAGTTGAAATGCCATGCACTGCTTCTGTAGCTTAAGAGGAAACAGATTTTAACATATAAACTCAGTTTTGGTTTTGTACTAGAAAACATATCATCCTGACATCAGGTGACAGCACCAATAACAACCAATTTGGTACAAAACACGATTTAACCACCAGTGCAGTCAAGCACAGTCAGAAATATACTACATTAAATATCACCAAAGGCTTACTCATACAGGTGCTAAACAACTTTAAGATCTAATAATACGAGAAAAGTCATAAACATAAGAGCAACAGCAAAACAATTACAAGCATGGATGTCTAGGTTACTATATTTTTAAAGAGCACAAACATTTAACTAAACTAGATTTTCAAATCATTATTTATTTTTCCACTCCACCTCGCATTCCTCAAAAGTACATGCTTCCCAGTGCAAGAAGGTCAAGGCATAATTCCAGAGGACCTGATAATCAGCCCATTACTCGCCCAATCACCATGCAGCCTCTGGTTCACACTGCAGTAGTCCAAGAATAACGAGTCTTTATAGCCATTCAGGAGCATATGCCCCCAAAGGAGGGAGGCAAACATTGCAGAGTAACAGATTGTTTCAGAGGCACCTCATATTTGTACTGCCAAAACCTCAAAACCCTTTACCAACCGCACTCGTTCAACTAAAAAGACAGTAAAACAACTAAGAGTTGAAAACTGTGTGAAAACATTTTGAAGAGGCAATAGAAAGAAAGAAAACTATGAAAATAAAAACCACTTCTATGGAAAACTTCTGCCTTTTCAGAGAGGAGTAAGTACAGAAGAGGAGAGGGGTGAGCTTCAAGTTACAGTCAAAAATTCCCATTAAATAAGATAATGTTATGAAAAGTAGCAGAAATAGTTGATTCTTTCAATTCGGTGATAGCCAGGAATCACAGGATTGTGCACTCTGGAGCCGCTTACAACAGTATTTTTGGAAGATGATACACTTATCCAAAAAGCCGACCTAAAGACACTCTTAGTACTATCATGAAGTAGCACTGCAAAAGCTGGGCTAACACAGCATCACCAGCCAGTTAAAGGAGGTGATTATCCCACTGTTTCAGCATTGGTGTGGCCTCACCTGGAGTAACTTGTACACCACTGGAAAACTATGGGAAAGTCCTTGAATATGTCCAGAGGAGGGCAACAAAGCTGCTGCCATGTCCTCTGAGGAGCAGGTTAAGACTTTTAAGTTTTTCTAGTTTGGAGAAAAGGTCTCTCATTGCTCTCTACAGCTTCCTGAGGAGGGGAAGTGGAGAGGCAGGTGCTGATCTCCCCTTCCTAATAACCAAGTGACAGGACAGTCAAGGATGGTTCAAAGTTGTCTCAGGAAAGGTTCAAACTGGACATTAGGAAGCATTTCTTTAACAAGAGCGTGATCAAACACTGGCACAGATTTCCTAGAGAGGTGGTCGGTGCCCTGAGCATTTTAAGTGTTTAGGAGGTATTAGGACAATGCCCTTAATAACAAAGATTTGGTCAGCCCTAACGTGGTCAAGCAATTGGACTAAATGTTTGTTGTAGATCCCTTCCACATGAACTATCCTTCTTTTATTCTAAATCACAAAACATCTGCTTTAATTTTTTACATCTTAGTGATACATGAAGTCACAGCCCAGGAGACCCATAAACAGCAAAACAGGAACATCCCCAGAGCACCACTGGCAATAACCTTGCTTTGTGTAATTTGAGCACTTTTTCTCAATTACATCCAAAGTCTGTCACTCTGTGCTTTGGTACAGTTAGCATTAACTTTTGTTTTGGTCAAAGACTTACAAGTAGGTAAAGAAAACTCAAAGCGACAACTAAGAAGCAAGTTACTTTAATCAGTAAACAAACAAACAAAAAACCAACAAAACAAAACAAATTCCTAGAGTGCAAAACCCCCTGTAGGCTAGCAGATAAGCGTTTGCTGCAGGTTAATAAAAAGCACAACTCGTCAAGACGTTGTTCCAAAATGGATCTTGTGTGCCCAACGCTTAGGGTTGAGCAGAAAACACAACTGTCCCACTTCAAGCCTCACACGTGCCTCATTTACCCTACATTAGCTTCACCTTTGTCACCGTCCCCTCCTTGCTGAAGAGGCGTACAGCGTAATGAACAACAGCACCGTGGCCAAGCACCGGGCTCCAGGCAGGGAAGGCCCGAGGCAGGAGGGCAGCAGCGGGGGCGGGCAGGCCGTCGCCGACCCCGGAGAGGGTCTGGGGTGGTCCCCGGCTCGGGGTGTCGGCCCTGCCCGCAGGCCGGCCGGGAGGGCCCGGGAGCTGCTCCCAGGGCGAGCCCTCGCCGGGCCCCGAGCGCGCCGGGGCCGGCACAGCCCCCTCCCCGCGGCCGCAGCCACGGGCTCCGAGCCAGAGCCCCAAGCACAGGGGTCCCCCCGGGCCCCCGCTCGCAGTCCCGCCGAGGGCGCGCTCGGCGGCGCGGCCCAGCTCGGCCGCACTTACCAGCCCGCCTCGGAGAGCGCCGCCCGCGCCCTGTCGGCCATGGCGCCGCCCGCCGCCGCTCCCCGCAGCGCTGGGGCCGGCGGGCGCCGCAGGGCCCCCGGCTCTCACTCGGAGCAGGAGGTACGCGGGGCCTACTCGCTCCCTCGGGCCGCTCCGGGCGTTCGGGCCGGGCCGGGAAGGGAGGGAGGGGCGGGCGCGGAGGAGAGGAAGGAGGGAGGAAGGGGCGGGGGCGGCGCAGGCAGACACGAACAAAGCCCGCGACCGGCGGCGGGTGGCGTGCCGCCTGCAGGGAGGCTGCGGCCGCCATGCCGGAGAAGGGCAGCAGGGAGGGCAGCGAGGCGGGGGCGGCCCCGGTTCCATGGCCTTAGGCCCGGGCTGAGGTGGCGGCAGCGGGAAGGGCTTATTTCAGGCACTTTTCTTCTGTAAATAGTGCTGTTAATAGTGACGCTGTGTTGGAAAGGACTCTCCCGTGCCCTGCATACGGGTGTTGCGGGTTAGGAGCGATTTTTAGCCTTTAGAAAGGTGAGCGGCTGAGGGAGCTGGGGTTGTTCAGCCTGGAGAAAGGGAGGCCCGGGAGGAGACCTTGTGGCTCCCCACAACTCCCTGAAAGGAGGCTGTAGCGAGTCGGGGGTCGGTCTCTTCTCCCAGGTGACAGGACAAGAGGAAATGGCCTTAAGTGGTGCCAGAGGAGGTTGAGATTGGATACGAGGAAAAATTTCTTTTCAGAAAGGATGAAGAATTGGAACAGGCTGCCGAGGGAAGTAGTGGAATCACTGTCCCTGAAATCATTAAAAAATTCCGCCACGTCTAGATGTGTTTAGGGACACGGTTTAGTGCTGGACTTGTCAGTGTGCTCAGGTAATGGTTGGACTCAATTTTAGTGGTTTTTCCCAACCAAATGATGCTGTGTGAAAGGCTGTGCCTATGGAGTTTGTCTGTTAAAGATGGAGTTTTCTTCGTGGGTTGTCCTCACCCTTGGGATGTTTCAATTTTCATGCAGCATCTTTGAGTCAAAGTTTGCAGGTTGATGGGGCGGGTTATTTTGTTGTGGTTTCTTTTTTTTTTTGATCCATCTGAAAACCTCTCTTTGCTATACTGAGTACAAATCACTCAGGATTTTTCATACAACACTCTGGGCTGCTCATTCCTGGTATTCTCTTTTGTATCTGTATAATCTAGGACAAAGATTTTGTCACCAGTGCATATGGTGTCCTGTATGGCTGCTGTTTTCAAGATACATATATCTTTAAGTTGACAGTTACAGAACTGGGAAAGTGCAGCAGTGCATTTTGATGTCAGTTCGTAGAGAACAATCACCGGGGCCATCTACTCAGAGTTTGGTAAACTGAGCCAACGCAGCCTTCTGTATACTTTATAAAGTGAGTAATCATACCATGCGTTTGGATTTTCAGAGGTTGTGCAGTCCCATATCCTGACAAGGCTCTGGGTGAATGTGAGCTTCCAAAGGAATAATATCTAGAACTACCTAACGTAAGAGCCTTGAAATAGACCTACTTATGTCTGTATCAAAGAAACACCTAAATGAGTCACGAGGCATACCCTGAAGTTAAGCAGAAGAGTCACACTGAAATATTAGTGGCCAAGTCACAGTGTTTTTCCACACTTAACAGTAGCAGATGCTGACATGGGAAAGCACTAGGAGATAGGTCAGAGTGTAGTTCCAGTTCAGACGCTTATTATGCAAAAGAAATGGGAATAAAAGCATCTTACATCTGTAGTCTGACCTGTCTGCACAATAGATTATCAAGGAAAGGTTGTAAACATTATTGTAACTCAAAATGGGGTGCCCAGAGAGCCAATTAGTAAAGGATAGAGTATGACCTAGGAGAAGATAATGAGAATTACAGACTTCATGCGTTACCTCATCTTAGTTTAAGACATGGAGGCTTTTGCTTACTTAAATCTTCACTGAAATCACCAGGCAATTATACCAGCAATTTCGCCAGCAAATGGCTAGCTGTTGCACCCCGTGGCACAGACCACTATCTATAAAGAAAACATAGAATCTGTCCTTTTTAGAGGTCACAGGCATCCATTCTAATAAATTCATTATATGCAAACTGAGATATGTGTGTGTGTGTATATATATATATACACACACACACACACACATGTACATCTTTTTGTAGATGAGAGGTCCCCATTAGCGTGTGTTTCTCTGCCCACGGAGGGCACTGCCCGATCTTGGCTGCTAGCTTTCTAGCTGCTGTCAGCTGTGCTGCAGGGAGGTGAACAGTTAGCTCCACGGTAAAACAGAAGGTGATTCAATGCCTGCCAGGCCGTCAGAGAACCACAAATTGAAGGGATAAGACCCTCTGTGCCAGATGTTCACGATAAAACAGCCTTAGAGCATATTCTCTATATCAGTCACCTTTAGAATAAATGACAATGCTGAAGCTAAAGAGCATCAGAGTACCTGGGGCTGTACAGGAACCCGCCTAAACTCCCACACACTTGTAAGGGGCTCAGTGCCTCCATAACTTTTTCTGACAAATGTTACTCAAGATGAAGCAGTGCATCACTGTTCACAAGATTCACATGGACTCCCTCTGTCCAAACTGCCTAAAATGCAGTTCTTCTTGACTGCTGCCCATGTGACCTGGAGACAACTTAATGTATGACAAAGAGGTTATTTCACAGTGCTCTGTAATTGTAAGTACCTAAAAGGTTTGGTCTACTCAAGCACCTCTGTTAGGGCACTGGTGAGAAGGAGAACAGACAGAACAGCACACAAGACAGCAAAAGCCAGTTTTTGAAGCAGCCTTACAGGTTCCCACCCGTGGAATGATTCATCCTTGTTGCCTTTATCTCTTGCCTATTCCAGGCCCAATCCTCTTGGTTCAGCAGTGAGCTCACAAAACCAGGGAGCTGAAACTGTTGAGCGTACCTGCCAGCAAAGGGCAAGAGCAGAAAGCTGCAATGGTCTGTCATTCTCAGCCCCAGGGGCTGGCCAGCTGGGCAAAACAACGACATGGTCATTGTGAGTTACGGCATCATTCACCCCAACCTGGTGTGCTGAAACTAACAACAGTGGGATGGAGACCCTCCACACCAGATTCAGCAAGAGCTCCCCACAACACCAGAAATGCTGTTTTGGTCTCAATTTTTATTTTCATCTTCCTCCATTACATTATCTGAAGGTAAGAGGTTGTTCTATCGAATGCAGAAGCAGGTGATCCTTAGCCTGAATCTACAGCTGAAAGTAACTGGGCACTGAAGGTAAAGAGCCTTCCCTTCTGGTCATTGTATTTCTAGGAGTGTGCTGGGGTTTCAACAAAAGTGGCTCTCTCAGTGTCCTGTGATGGACTGGGTCCTAAACTGATTTGACTGCAGTCAGAAGGATCAGCTTTACTATTGTTGTATTTCTGCCAAAATATTGTGAATGTTTTATCTGAAGGGAGAGGATAGCAGTCAGCACTCAGTCTTTCTTCTTAGTCTTCTTCTGTCATTAACTTCCCTAAATTGTAGACAAAGAGCAAAGGCAACTGGTTACTACAAGCATTTCAAGCTGATGGTTGCTAGTGGGAGGGACCAGGCCTGGCCTGTCGAGTCTCACGGCAATCAGGTGGCTGTCGTCTGTTGTGGCAACTGGAGAAGGAATTGGCTTTTCATAGAGTAAAGAGAACAAGGGAAAATTACGGCAGTAATGTGTTGGGTTTTTTTAATGAGGGAGAAGAAGCAGAGAGGCTTGTAAAGGAGCAAGGCAAAACAAAGAGACAAACAGGAGGCACATTTTCAAGCCTGGAAATCGAAAGGATTATGAAGTCTTGGACATAATACCACCGCCTATAGCCACAGACTGTAGTTAAGCTGGTGTTGCAAGGAGAGATAGTTTCTGCTAAGGCCAAGGCTAACATTTTTGTCAGGCTGCTCTAACTGATGTGTCTGGAACCCTGTAGTTTGACAACACTCCCCACTTTCTCCTGCAAATCGCTAAGTGTATGACAGGCTACCATGATCTTAAAGGTATAGTCCACACTGGCATCATGTCAGTCAAAAAGACAGCATCAGTGCTGTCAGGACACTCACCGAGGCACAGTGGTTGTCAGGATGGGGGCACTCACATATGGCATGATGATGCTGTTGTCAGGCCTGTGCAAGGCTGCTTATCAAAATGTCAGCAGTTCAGATCTGAAGTGCAAATGAGCCACTGCGGTGATCACAAGGGTACGATGGATCACTAAGTACTGCAGAATGTAATCTCATATAATTATGACGCTTTCAGGGCCCCTTGTGGGCCAGCAGAAGGGCTTGTGTTTGTCAGTGATTCTGGCACAACTCAAACTACTGGTCCTCTGGACACTGAATTGGTAAACAGCCAGGGAGCAGAGGATCAAACAGCATATGGCTTTGCAGACTTTACCGGGCTGCAGTAAACATTCCAGCCCTGAACAGCTGTGTCTTGCCTCTAACAAGATTACTTTTAAGAGACTGATACCTTCTGGACTGGATGGAAATCTGGAAATAAGCACGCTGCTGTCAGGGCTCTTAGTGCACCAAGAGGCTCTGCAGCCTCTTCCCCCTGCCTTGGGGTTTGGCTGCCCATGCTCCATTGCAGCTCTGATATTGTGCAGCTGTAGCCTTGGATCAGGCTGCTGAGGACAGAGCTGTGTGAGAAGGAGCAATGGGAAGCCTTTTGGCGGCCTCCTGCTCTTTGCCTGGGAGCTGCATTGAAGCTCAGGCCTCCGTCCTTGAGACTTGCCTTAGGCATGCCTGTGCCTGTCCATGTGCCTTTATGATCCTGAACCACGGATTTGACTTGCTGGCTTGACCTTGCACCTGCTTCATCACTGCAGACGTGTCTTGTAATCTTGAGCGCTGGCTGACACCGCTCACCAGCACGGTACCTGCTCAGATATTGTGGCATTGTGCCCACCTGGGGAAATCACTGCCCTACCTGCCTTGCTATTGCCCTCAGCTCCTGGCTTCCTTCCCTTGTGGGACCGCCCATGCTTGCTGCTTTCTGAGAGCTCCCGTTGAAGAGCTATGAATGTGGTATGTTACATGAAGAAGTTGTCCTGTTGGCAGTCACTTGGTGTCTGAAATCAATACACATGACGCAATTAAACCAAACTCAGTAACAGTGGAGACTGCTGAAGGTCAGCTGCCAGCCATACAGTCACTCAATATACAAGACAGCAACACCG